GGGCTTACTCCTGGCTTTGTGCTCAGGGATTCCTTCTGGCAGGATTCACGGAACCGTATGTGTTGCTGGGAATCGAACTCACATCAGCAGCTTGCAAAACCAGAGCCTGACCTGCCCCACCAGCCCGTTTTTTTTTCTTTTTCTTTTGACCCAGAAGTGCTCGGGGTTTACTCCCAGCTCTGCACTCAGGGATCATTTTTCACCCCACTTTGAAACTGAGTATTAAATGGGGTACACCCCCAGGAAGAATAGCGTGCCCAGAATGCTTAAGGATGGGTGCACGGGTGGGGGAGGGACAGGGGAGGGAAGCGGGGCACCCCTGTCCCTTTAGCACCCAGAGAGCAGAGAGGGACTTTTGTCTTTGATTGTGGGGAGACTCCCTGGAAGGCTGGTCTAGGTCCCGGAGGAAGAGGAAGGACTGGGGGGAGAGCCGTGGGGTGTCTCCCACCTCTGTCTCCTCTTTAGTGGGAACTTGAGGGGAGCAGGGCAGGGTGGGATCCCTCATGAAGAACGGGAGAGGGGCCAGCGTGATAGCACAGCAGGTAGGGTGTTTGCCTTGCATGCGGCCGACCCGGGTTCGATCCCTGGTATTCCATAGAGTCCCCCAAGCAAGGCTAGGAATGATTCCTGAGTGCAGGGTCAGGAATAACCCCTGTGTATCACTGGGTATGACCCAAAAAGCAAAAAGGAAAACAGGAGTTGTCTCACCCAGCCTTCACGCCATGTCCTCAACTTCAGGGGTTCAACTGACACGTCACTTCTACTCTGTTCCCGTTACCCCATCACCCCAGGCTTCTGGGAACCACAGTAATTACTGTCACCCATTAATTACAGTCTGGGCACTGCCTCAGGGATAACTCACGGGGAAGCAGAAAGTCTGAGCCTTCCTTCAGGGCGCCTCTTAAGCTGGGGAGTTGGCTGCCAACTGAGCAGTCTGCTGACCCCTGCGCCAGGGAGCTTGCTTTGGGTCTGGGAAGCCCTAGGTGGGTGGGGGGTGCTGGGGGCCCGAGGGGAAAGCTCCCAGAAGCCCTAGTGGCTGTCTACCAGAGACACCCCATGTCTTACTTGCACAACTGCAAGATTTTATTTCTTTATTTTTATTTTCGGAGAGCCCGGCAAGCTACCGAGAGTATCTCGCCCGCACAGCAGAGCCTGGCAAGCTCCCCATGGCATATGCGATATGCCAAACACAGTAACAACAAGTCTCACAATGGAGACGTTACTAGTGCCTGCTCGAGCAAATCGATAAATAATAGGAGGATAGTGCTACTTTTGTTTTGGGGACCACATCCGGTGGCATTCAGGTTTTACTCCTGACCCTGGGCTCAGAAGGGGTCACATCTGTCAGGCAGACCCTATGGGATGCCGTGGATCAAACCTGGGTGGGCTCTCTCAGGCAAGCGTCCTCCTTGTTCTCTTATCACTCAGGCCCTTATTTATTTTACTTATTTATTTATTTTGGGACCACACCTAGCGATGCTCAGGGATGACGCCCGACTCTGCATTTCAAGAGTCATTCCTGGGGGTCCTCAGAGGACCCTATGGGATGCCGAGGATTGGACTCAAGTCAGCTGTGTGCAAGGCAAACACCCTCCCCACTGTACTCTTGCTCTTATTTATTATTCTTTTTGTTCCTCCCCTTATTATTATTTAAAATTAAGATGGATCTGTTTTATAGAGTTTAGTTTATTTCTTAAACTGGGGGATTTAAAAAAATTATATTTTATTTATTTATTTGGCTTTTTGGGTCATGCCCGGCGATGCTCACGTTACTCCTGACTCTGCACTCAGGAATTACTCCTGGCGGTGCTTGGGGAACTATATGGGATGCCAGGATCGATTCCAAGTTGGACGCATGAAAGACAAACATCCTACCCACTGTACTATCACTTTGGCCTATATATGTATATATATATATATATATGTAATTTTTATTTTTACTTTCTTGGCTTGGGGCCTTAACTGGTGGTGCTCAGGACTTTTTCCAGTCTCTGAGCTCAGGAATCACTCCTGGTAGGACTCAGGGAGACCCTGAGGGGTGGCTGGGGATCAAAGCCAGGTTGGCTGTTTAGAAATGGAAGTGCCTGAGCAATAGTACAGCAGGGAGGGCATTTGCCTTGCATGGGGTTGACCCGGGTTCGATCTCCGGCATCCTATAAGGTCCCCGAAGCACTGCCACTAGTAATTCCTGAGTGCAGAGTCAGGAGTTAGCCCTGAGCCAATTGTTGGCTATGACTCAAAAGTCAAGAAAAAAAGAAAAGAAAGAAAGAAAAGCAAGGTCTGATCCACTGTGCTATCTCCAACCCCAAGACAACCTTTATTTTTTGGGGGGTCACACTCAGCGATGCACAGGGGTTACTCCTGGCTCATGCACTCCAGTTACTCCTGGCAGTGCTCAGGGGACCATATAGGATGCTGGAGATTGAATCTGGGTCGGCTGCATGAAAGGCAAATGCCCTACCTGCTGTACTATCACTCCAGCCCCAAGACAAACCCTTTGATCCACCCTAATTGGGGGAGAATGCTCAAGTAGAGGATGTATGTGAGCCCCAGGTTCAATCCCTGGTACCGTGATCAGAAATAAAAACAAAGGACCATGGGGCCGGAATGATAGTACAGCAGGTAGGGCATTTGCCTTGCATGTAGCCAACCTGGGTTCGATCCCTGATGCCCCATATGGTCCCCTGAGCACCACCAGAAGTGATCCCTGAGCACAGAGCCAGGAATCAAACCTGAGCACCACCAGGTGTGGCCTCCAAACAAAAACTACTAAAAAAAAATATTTTATTTATTTATTTTAGGGGTTTTTTTTGCTTTTTGGGTCACACCCAGCGATGTACAGGGGTTACTCCTGGCTCTGCACTCAGGAATCACTCCTGGCGGTGCTCAGGGATGCTGGGAATTGAACCCAGGTCAGCCACATGCTAGGCAAATGCCTACCCTCTGTGCTATCGCTCCAGTCCCTAAAAAAATATTTTAAAATGGCTAATGCTCATTCAACTTCCTGTGAGCCAGGCTCTACTTCAGCATCACTCAAATCCTGTGCATCTGCCGTTACTGATTTGTAAATGGGGAAAATTGAGGTTCAGCGACTACTTGAGCTACTTGCCCACAAATGAAGCGATTTGCCCACAAATATGGTGGACTTGCACAAAGGCCCTCTGGCCCATACAAGGCGCCGTCACCCTCTGCCCCGGCTTCAGAGTGCCTGCAAGGGGCCCCATGGTGGCCCCATGGCTGATTCACCAGCTCTTTCATTCCATCATTCCAGCATGGCTCACCCTGGGACTTTGCCCCAAGTCTCCCCTCGTCCACTGGGAGAGGCTGACACACAGGGAGAGATAGTGCTAAGCTACTTCCTCCAGTGGGTGCTTTAAAAGGGTCACCCAAAGAGGAAGCTTGAGGGCCTGAGCGATAGTACAGCAGGTAGAGCATTTGCCTTGTACACGACCGGTCTGGGTTTGATCCCCGCACCCCAGGAGTAATTCCTGAGTGCAGAACCCGGAGTAACTAGCCTTTGAGCATCGCCGTATGTGACGCAAAACGCAGTAATAAAATAATAATAATAATAATAATAATAGTAATAAAAACACCGCACAAAAAGAGGCAGCTTGCAGATCGGAGCCACTGTACAGAGAGGAGGGCTGTACAATGCAACGGCTGTACCTTGCAAGCAGCCGACCCGGGTCGATGGCCAACATCCCATAGGGTCCCCCGTGCACGGTCAGGAGTGATCCCTGCTCACAGAGCCAGGAATAAGCCCTGAGCACCGCCGGATATATGGTGCCTCCCCCACCCACCTCGGGTGGAAAAAAAAAGAGAGAGAGAAAGACGGAGTCTGCAGGGCCTGGAAGAGCAATATAGAAAGAAGGAGGCTCCCAGGGAAACGCGAGGATTAGAGGGTTTAAAGGACCGGCGTGGGGGCGTGGCTAGAAGGGCGGGGCATGAGAGTCTTGGGAAGCCCTCTTGGGTGGAGCCCGGGAATGGATTGGGAGGGAGGGAGGTGATTGGCTGAGGCTGGCAGGGTGATTTGCATATAAGTGAGCCGAACTTGAGGATGCTGGTCAGGGAAGATGCTTGCGTGTGGATTGGCTGGGGAGCAATGAGGGGTTGGAGCGGGCTGGACATGGACATTGTGTGTGTGTGTGTTTTGATTTTTAAAATTTTTTTTTATTTTTTGCTTTTTGGGATCACACCCGGCGATGCACAGGGGTGACTCCTGGCTCTGCACTCAGGAATCACTCCTGGCGGTGCTCGGAGGACCCTATAGGATGCTGGGAATCGAACCCGGGTGTGCCGCGTACAAGGCAAACGCCCTCCCCTCTGTGCTATCGCTCCAGTCCCTTGTGGTGTGGCTCTGTGCTCAGGGGCCCTATGCAGTAGCACGGGGGTGGAGTGGGAGGGGTGCTTAGGTGCAAGGCAAGTCTTCAGCCCTGGATGTGAGCGTTCTGAAGAGGCGTTGGTTCTGGGGGACAAGAAGTGGATCCTTGGGGTGGGAACTAAGAGGGTAGCTGGTGCCAGAGAGGGGAATTATTTTTTTTCTGTTTCTGTTTGTTTTGTGGGGTGCTGTCAGAATTCGGTCCTTGGGCCGGGATCCAGGGGTACCTCACCCCGGATTATCTCTCAGCTCATCATCTCTTACCTATCTCTGTCCCAGGTCCCTCCCAGCGATGGCGTGGCCCTGCCTGATCTCCCTCCTGCTTTCTGCTCTTCTCGTGTCTGGTGGGTGCCACCCCCCTTTGGCAGAACAGTGCTACCTCTTGAGGATGTGCCTCAGAAGCAATGGGGGTGGGGGGACGGGGGTCTCTGAGCCCCTCCCATGCTTGGTTGCCAGGGAGGGGAGACCCTTGGGGAGAAATCCCAGGCGGGTGAAGTTGGTTCTGGGGGTTGATATGGGGTCTCCCAGAAAGCTTGTTATTTTGGGGGGCTGGTGTCCCTGGGTCCTAGCGTGTTGTGTCTCTACAGTCGCTGCCGACACCTCTCTATCGTTTACACCCAACATGACGAATGTGAAAATTCCAGAGGATAAACCTGTTGGTGAGTTCCCTGAGTGGGTCCAGGCTTGCCCAACGTGGGGTGGCGGTTCCCCATTCCCACAGCATCGATGCTAGCCAGAAGGCTTCACTCCAGGAAGTTTGTTCCAGAACCTTTCTTGCTTGGCTGGGTTTTTGAGGTCTTGCCCAACAGTGCTCAGGGAGTACTCCTGGCTTGGGGTTTGATGGGTTCCTGCTGGCCCTCTGTGTTCGTGGGGGACATTTTCTCCTGAGGGAGGCCCTTGGTCCAGGAACAAAATTGCTACAAAAGTGATTTCCTTTTGTTTTTGTTTTGAGGTCACAGGAGGCAGTGCTCAGAGCTGACTCCCGGCTCTACACACGGGGATCCCTCCTGGCAGGACTCAGGGAACCCTGTGAGATGATGGGCATCAAACCCGGGTTGGCCACATGCAGGGCAAGTGCCTTAGCTGCTGTACTATTGCTCCAGTCCCTGCATTTTTCTTTAAAATCACTGTCAAAATGGACAAATCCACAGTCTGTCTTTTCATCTTTGCCTTTTTTTTTTCTTTTTGGGTCACACCCAGCTATGCTCAGGGGTTACTCCTGGCTCTGCACTCAGGAATTACTCCTGGCGGTGCTCGGGGGACCATAGGGGATGCTGGGGATCGAACCCAGGTCGACCATGTGCAAGGCAAACGCCCTCCCCACTGTGCTATCGCTCCAGCCCCTCATCCTTGCCTTTCGATCTGATGGAGTTGATTCATTTTGTGGGGGACATTCCAAGCAATGCTCAAGGGCCAGTCTTGGAGACTCTCACCAGCAGATCTGAAGGTTCAATGTTCAGGCTGGGTGAGGCTAGAGTGGAGCCTGGGTTTCAGGGATGGATCTTGGGGTCTCGTGCTCATCAGCATGAACTCTGCTGGTGAGCACTCTCCATACTATCTCCCTGGCCTCCTCCTTAAGTACTAAACTAATTTGCTTTATTTTGGGGGGAGCAGATTCAATGGGATTGGGGGACCATGACAGGACCTGGGGTGGAGTACAAATCTCCTGCATGTAAACCATGCTCTTAGCCCACTTAGACTATTTCTCCAGGGCAGGGAGCGATAGTCCAGCACGGAGGATGTTTGCCTTGCACACTGCTGATCTGGGTTCGATCCCTGGCATCCCATAGGATCCCCAAGCAATTCCTGAGCACAGAGTTGGGAGTAACCCCTGAGCATCACCAGATGTGGCTCAAAAGCAAAAATAAAACAAAACAAACCCAGGGCTGGAGCAATAGCACAGTGGCTAGGGCTTTGCTTTGCACACGGCTGACCCAGGTTCGATTCCCAGCATCCCATTTGGTCCCCTGAGCACCACCAGGAGTAATTCCTGAGAGTAGAGCCAGGAGTAACCTCTGTGCATCGCTGGGTGTGACCCAAAAAGCAAAAAACAAACAAACAAAAGACCCCAGGCAAAATTATTTCTCCAGTTTTATTTATGTAAATATTTATGAATTTTGAGGTCTTTAGCTTGTTGGTATTTGTCATTTTGTTTATGTCTTCATTTATGTATTTATATATTTTTGGGGGGAGCCATACCTAATGGTGCTCAGGGCTTATTCCTGGCTCTGTGTTCAGGGATCAACCCTAGGGGTAAAATGAATAATACGGTGAGGGGCACTTGCCTTGTCTTACACACAACCAACCTGGAGTCAAGCCCCAGCACCCCAAAGGTCCCTTAAGCCCCTCAAGGTATGATTATACAAGGAAAGACAGTACAGCGGGGAGGGCTTGCCTTGCATCACGTCAGATTCGGTTCGATTCCCGACAGCCCATGTGATTCCCCCAAGCATTACCAGGAGTAATTTCTATGTGCAGATCCTGAGTTTCGCTGGGTGTGACCCCAAAACTAAAACCACATAAAACAGAAAAAAAAAACAACCAACTACGAGACTTGTGGTCTCATGGATTGTATCAGGAGGGCTGTGGTGGGGGTTCCCCAGTTTTCAGTTGGCTGCAGAGCCTGGAAGTCTTAGTTCTATCCCATCTCCACAGGTGAGACGGTTTTCTGGATAACGGTCAACAACCCGAATCTGGGTGGTCTGACTTTTGGCATCAGCGGGCAAAATTCCAGTTACTTCAGTGTCAACAGTATTACCGGAGAGGTGAAACTCCGGGTCCATCTGGATTATGAGGTAAAGCAGCACCCAGAAAGGCTCTGGGAAGGGCTGGGAGATAGGGGCACCCTTGGGAACTAGGGTTCTATGGGGGCCCCTTCCTGTCTTCCCACCTGGAGCATCACTCACGGGGGGACCCTTTTCTCCACCCTTGCAGTCAGTGAAGTATTTCACCATCCAGATCTTTGCGGGCCAACCCAATGGAGTAAGTTGGAAGATAGAAGGATGTGGAGGTGTGACTGCTTGTGTCTCCTTCCATTCCTCCCTCCCTCCCTCCCTCCCTCCCTCCCTCTCTCCCTCACTCCCTCTGTCACTTCCTTCCTCTCTCTCCTTCTCTCCCTCCCTTTTTCCCTCTCTCTGCCTCCCCCTCCTTCCTTCCATCACTCCCTTCCTCTGTCCCTTCTTCCTTCCCTCTCTCCCTCCTTGCCTTCCTCCTCAGTCCCTCCCTCCCTCTCTCTCCCTATCTCCCTCCCTCCCTCCTTCCCTCCCTTCCCAGTCCCTCCTCCACTCTCTCTGCCTCCCTCCCTCCCTCCATCACTCCCTTCCTCTCTCCCTCCCTCCCCCTTTGCCTCCCTCCCTCTCTCCCTCCCACCCTCCTTCCCTCTTCCTCCCTCCCTCCTCTAACTTCTTCTCTGCCTCCCTCCCTCCCTCCCTTCCTCCCTCTCTTTCCTTCCCTCTCTCTCTCCTTTCCTCTCTGCCTCCTTCCCTCTCTCATTTTCTTTCTCTCCCTGTCTCTCTGTTTTTTTTCTTTCTTTCTCCCCTTTTTGACCATCCCTGGAGGTTCTGGGAGCACAGAAGCTGCTCCCCTCTCAGCCTTCGTGGTTGGTCTCCAGCTCTCAGTTCCCACGCTCACCTGGGCTTTCTTACTACAGATTGAGGCGAAAACGACCATGACCGTGTATGTAGAAGATCGGAATGACAATAGGCCTATTTTCATGAATGATGTCTCCTCCATCGTCATCAATGAGGTAATGTCTGACTTAAGGGGGAGTCTGGATAGGGTGCAGCCATCCCAGGAGATCTGGAAGGATTAAAGACAGCCCCCAGACCCCACCATAAGTGAGCAGAGAACAAGGAGTAAGTTCTTGAGCACTGCTAGGTGGGAAAGAAAGAAGGAAAGAAGAAAGAAAAGAAAGGAAGGAAGGAAGGAAGGAAGGAAGGAAGGAAGGAAAGAAGGGGCCGAAGGGGCCGAAGGGATAGTACCGCGGGGAGGACGTTTGCCTTGCACGCAGCGGACCTACGTTCAACCCCTGGCATCCCATAGGGTCCCTCAGTACCTAGGAATAATTATTGAGTGCAAAGCCAGGAGGAACCCCTGAACATCTCTGGGTGTGATTAAAAAAAAAGACAGAAATAAAAGAAAGGGAGGGAGGGAGGGAAAGAAAAGAAAGAAAGAAAAGAAGGAAGGGAGAGAGAGGGAGAGAAAGGAAGAAAAGAGAAAGGAAAGGAAGGAAGAGAAGAAGGAAGGAAGGAAGGAAGGTTGGAAGGAAGGAAGGAAGGAAGAAGAGATGTTCAAGGGGACAGACACAAAGGCTCAGTGGCGAAGGTCGCTCACTATCCAGCACACAGCAGGGGCAGGGGGAGCGAGAGCAGGACAGAGCGGGACCCCCTGAGTCTGCAGGGGCCCGATGGCACCACTTTGCTGCTTATCCAGGCTGTCTTTTCATTTTGGTTTGTTTTTTTCGGACAGCAGTGCTCGTGGTGGACTCCTGGCTCTGCACTCAGAGATCTTTTTTTTTTCTTTTTTGGTCACACCAGTGATGCTCAGGGGTTACTCCTGGCCCTGCATTCAGGGATCACTCCTGACAGTGCTTGGGGACCCTGTGGGATGCTGGGGATCGAACCTGGGTCGGCTGCGTGCAAGGCAAACGCCCTACCCGCTGTGCTATCGCTCCAACCCCGCCCGGTTGCTGATTTTATCCCAGGGGGTTCTGGGGTCTCTTCCCTCTCTCCTCCTCCTCCTCCTCCTCCTCCTCCTCCTCCTCCTCCTCCTCCTCCTCCTCCTCCTCCTCCTCGTTCTCCTTTTCAGACGTGATGTGTCTTCTCTTCTTACAGACCCTGCCGGTGGGCTCTGTGATATACATCGCGAATGCTACAGATGCAGATGTAGACCTATCAGGGCCAGTGAACTACTCCATCGAAGGGGTGAGTGACTGGAATGTCCAGCCCCTCTCTCCATCAGGGGGCAGCACCTCCCACCCCAGCCCTCAGAGACCCCCTCCGTGGGACTGTGAGGGCTGGTGTGGGGGTGGGGGATTGGCCCCGCTTGGTCCCCAAGTCTTCCACGTCCCCCACCACCCCTGTTAACATCACATCATCCCCAGGAGGGCATCAAACCCTTTTTGGGGAGGGGGCACTTTCTTTTTTGTTGTTGTTTTTGTTTTTGTTTGTTTTGGAGCCTCACCCGGAGATGCTCAGGGTTTGTGTGTGAGGGGGATGCTTTCAAGTTTGATGACCTTTTATGTCCGGTTTCAAAGCGAAACAAATGGTCGGAACAATAATCTAGCGAGCAGGGTGCCTTGCCTTGCACGCGGCTGACCCATAGTCTATCCAACACAGTCCCAAAAGCTCACCAGGATTGATCCTTGAGGGGCCTGAGGGAGGCGGGCAGGGCATTTGCCTTGCATGTTGTCGACCTGGGATCAACCCCGGCATCTCATAGGGTCCCCCCAGCAATGCCAGGAGTGATTCCTGAGTGCAGAGCCAGGAATAACCCCTGACCATCACGATTGTTGGAGGTGGCCCCCAAACTAAACAAATAACCCCAAATCACACAGACTTGAGCCCGAGAGATAGAACAGCCGGGAAAGCATTTGTCTCGCAGACAGCTAACCCGGGTTTGAGCGCCAGTACCCCAAAGTTTCCCCTGAACCTCCTTGAGTACAAAGTTGCAAAGCCAGAAGCCTCGAGGATCACTGAGGGTGGCCCCTCAAGTCGAATTCAAATCCAAACCCCCAAACCACAAAACAGCAATGTTTGTGTGGAAGTGATGCAAGGTCTCATGATAAAAAAAAAATCTGCTGGTGGGACATGGGTGAACAGACATTAGAACATTGTATAACTGAAACCCAATCATGGATAACTTTGTATCCATGGTGGTTTAAGTTTTTCTTTCTTTTTGGATCACACGCAGCCAATGCACAGGGGTGACTCCTGGCTCTGCACTCAGGAATTACTCCTGGTGATGCTCAGGGGATCATATGGGATGCTGGGGATAGAACCCAGGTCAGCCACATGCAAGGCAAACACCCTTCCTGCTGTACTAGTTTCCAGCCCCGGTGGTTTAATATTTTTTTCTTTTTGGGTCACACTCAGTGGTTCTCAGGGGTTACTCCTGGCTCTGCTCCCAAGGATTACCCCTGGTGGTGCTCAGGGGACCCTATGGGATGCTAGGGATAGAACCGGGGTTGGCCGTGTGCAAGGCAAACACCCTACCCGCTGTACTATAGCTTCCAGCCCCGGCGGTTTAATTAAAAAAAAAAAGTTTTCAAAAATTCTGCTAGCTAGAACAGTGTTCCACCCACAGCCTTCCCCTCCCTGCCCCCACTTCCTGGAGGGCTCCCTGGGAACGAGGAAACTGGATGGGAGATGCGCTGACGTGATGCTCTTCCTTAGGTCATCCCCAACAACACCGAGAGCAGGAATCTCTTCACCATCGAGAGAAATGGTTCCATCATTCTCCGAGGCAAACTGAACTATAACAGCAAAAGTCCCTTCTACCAGTTGAAACTTAAATCCTGTGTGAGTGGGGGGGCGCAGGCGGAGAGGTGGGCATGGTTGTTTGGGGGCCTGACTCTGGGCTCATGGCGGACGGGTCTCCCCACAGGACTTGGGGGGCGAGTATGAAGGCAACAAAAATTTCATCCAATGCTCCGACCCCTTCTACCTGTCCATCACTGTGTTGGATGAGGCCGACCTGGACCCCCAGTTTCTCAGAGAGTTCTACTCGGCCTCGGTGGAGGAGGATGCACCCGTAGTATGCAGAGGACCGGGAGGGGGGTCGGGAGGGGGAGATGGTGTGGGGGGCGGGTGAGAGATGGGAAAGGGTTGCACTCACCTCCCCCTCCCCCGCCCCCCCCCCCCCCCCCCGGACTCCGCCACCTTGTGCCCTTCTAGGGGACATCAGTGCTGACGGTGGAGGCTGTGGACGGCGACAAAGGTCTCAACTGGAAATTGAAATACAACATCACGAGTGAGAAGTGACGGAGACCCTGGCTGGTCTGGGGGCAGGGGGAGGGAGAGCCCCCCCCCCACCCGTCAGTAGGAGCCACCGGATATTCCTTTCACCAGACTCTACCATGCCTGACTGGTTCTGCATTGATCCTTCAAGTGGGGAGATCCAAGTTAACAGTCCCCTGGACCGTGAGAAGCTTCTAAGTGAGAGTGAGGAGGTGCGACTGCAGGTGACGGTAAGTGTGGGGTTCCCCTCCCCCCACTCTCCATTCTCTCACCCTTAGCTCTGCTTCTTCGGTGGGGGGCAAACCCAGTAGTACTCAGAGCTAACTCCTGGCTCTGTGCTCAGGGTCAGCCACATACAGGGCCAAGACACACACACACACACACACACACACACACACACACACACACTGTACCGTATCCCTCCAGCTCTGTGAGTGCTGGCTTGTTTTGTTTTCTCACTTCAGTCCTCTGTCCTCTTTTCTACCTTTAGGCCACGGAGACACAACAGAACATCTATGGAGGGGAGGCCCAGGCGAGCATATGGGTGACACTGAGGGTGACAGATGTCAATGACAACAATCCTGAGTTTTTCAACTGCAGCTTGTCGAACTGTCGTTTCACTCCTGAAGAACGACAAAATTACTTCTCTGGCTCCGTGGACGAGCACGCATCCACCCGCATCCCCATCGACAACCTCACCATGGTGGTCTATGACCCCGACAAGGCAGGTGCACCCCAACATGGGGAGGGCAGAGGATCAAGGAGAGGGCTGGGGGGATAAGCGGGGTGTGGGTGGTCTTGAGCTTGGGTTGGGGAGCAGTGGATCAGAGATTCGGATTCGCCACGGGGTCATGTCGGTCGGGTATGATTTTTGGTGCTGTTGAGTTTTTGGTGATGACAGGTAGTTGGTGAAGCCAAGAGGTAACCAATGGTGTGGGGGTCATCATTCATCACTGGGCGGGAACATTCAGTTGGAAGGTCCCTAAGGTACTGAGTGATGTGCCACGTGGGTGACATAGCCTGGTGACTCCTGGGTGGTGCTTGGTAGTACTAGGTGACACCAAGTTGGCACGTGATAGTGAGTGGAGGATGGCATTGGGTGGAGGGAAGTAGGTGCTATGTTGAGTTTGTGGATATCATCGAGTGGAGGAGTTGGGGGCACTGTGGGTCATGGGTGGGTATTTGGGTACTGCTGATGTTGGCTACTGTTGGTTTGGGTGTTGGAAACTGGTATAGGCGCTGAGTGGTGGAGGTATGGACTGGTATTGGTATTGGGTGCTGATGGTTTTGAAGATTGGGATAGGTTTTAGTATTGTTATGAGTTTTGGCATTGGATATTGGACTGAGTGTTTGTAGCGTTGGTTGTTGGTATGAGTGTTGGTTATTGGAAGTTTTGAGATCCATGTTTGGTGTTGGCACTGGGTGGCGGTATGGGTGCTGGCAGTATTGCTATGGGTTTTAGGTGTTGGGTGTTGGTATGCATGTTTGGTGTTGGTGTTGGGTGCTGCTAGAGGTGTTGGCATATTGGTTTGGGGTTTAGGTGTTGGTAGAGGGGTTGAGCACTATTGGTGTTCATATGGGTTTTGGGCCTTGGTGGTGTTAGAGGATTGTTACGGATGTTGATGGTGCTGGGTGTTTGAGTGTTGTATTGATGGTGTTGGGTGCTGCTTTGAGTGTTATATCAGTGGTATTGGGCACTGGCTTGTGTTTTGTATTGAGGGTGTTGGGTCCCACTTTGGGTGTTGTATTGGTGGTTTTGGGTGCTGGTTTGGTGTGTTAGTGCTGTTGAGTGCTTGTTTGTGTGTTATATTGGTGTTGTTGAGTGCTGGTTTGGTGTTGTGTTGGTGGTGTTGGGCACTGCTTTGGGCATTGTATAGGTAGTGTTGGATGCTGCTGTGTGTGTTGGTACATGAGTGTGGGTTGCTGAGAGGCGTCAGAGTAGTGCCTATTGGCAGTGAGTGGTGCCCAGACTTCGTCTCTCCTACCTTTGTGGACCCCTGCACCCCAGATTCAGGGACTGATGCACAGTTTGTCCAGAATTACCAACATCCTCCTGCCCCCAGTGTCTTCTTGGACATCAGCTGGCTACACTTCCACTGGCAAATGCCTCATCCAGGTCATGGGGGTCAGGCCTGGGGTGCCTGGTACTCACCCCAACCTCCACAGGGCAATAATGGCACCTTCACGCTGACCGTGGTGGATCCCTATTTCGATACCTTCAGCGTCTCTCCAGAGCGTGCCTCAGGCTCAGCCGACGTGCAAGTGCTGGTGAAAAATTCAACACTGGTGGACTATGAGAAAACTGAAAAAATGTTGGTGACGGTGAGGAATGCTCTGGGCGTGCCGAGGAGCCTGAGTCCTGGGGCCCTCGGACTCGGGCGCCTCAAGTTGCTTTCCCTTGCCCCCAGGTCGTGGCCACGGACACGGAAAGTGGGAACACCTCTGAAGCTTATGTGACCATCTATCTTAGAAACATCAATGACCACAGACCCTCCTTCCCCCATCCCCCGTATGAATTCATGTTCCCGGAAAACTGTACAGAGAATGTCATCGCCAATAACATCACTGTGAGTATACAGGACAGATGGCCCTGCCCCACCTGTCTGACGGTGGAGGCCCGTGTGCAGGGGGCTCCCCCGGGAGTGGAGGTGCTTCTGTACTGGGGCCACGGCAAGGTGGCCTTGTCCCCTCTAGTGAGTGTGACCTGCAAGCAGCCCGTTGTTGTGTGTCTAATTTGCAGGCGTATGACGAAGACAAGGACAAATGGGGCACGATCACCTACAGTCTGCTACCAGGAAGTGGGTAAGGAAGGCATTACTTGTGGGCAGGATCAAGGGGGGTTGGCAGGTGAATGGGTCCCCAATTTCCCTTTTAATTTAATTCATCAATTAATTTTTAAAAAATTTTTATTAGTGAGACACCATGAGGTATAGTTGTAGACTTACAAATTTTTGTGCTTGGGTTTCAATTATACAATGATCAAATACCCATCCCTCCACCAGTGCCCATTTCCCACCACCACGGATCCCAGTATCCCTCCCACCCCCCTCATCAATTAATTTTTTTTTTGCTTTTTGGGTCACACCCAGCGAAGCACAGGGGTTACTCCTGGTTCTGCACCCAGGAATTACCCCTGGTGGTGCTCAGGGGACCATATGGGATGCTGGGAATCGAACCCGGGTCGGCTGCGTGCAAGGCAAACGCCCTCCCTGCTGTGCTATTGCTCCAGCTCCATCAATTAATTTTTTTTTTTTGCTTTTTGGGTCACACCTGGCGATACACAGGGGTTACTCCTGGCTCTGCACTCAGGAGTTACTCCTGGCGGTGCTCAGGGGACCATATGGGATGCTGGCAATCGAACCCGGGTTGGCTGAGTGCAAGGCAAACACCCTACCCGCTGTGCTATTGCTCCAGCCCCCTCATCAATGAATTTTTTTTTTTGCTTTTTTTTGGGTCACACCCAGCAATGCACAGGGGTTACTCCTGGTTCTGCACTCAGGAATTACCCCTGGCAGTGCTCAGGGGACCATATGGGATGCTGAGAATTGAACCCGGGTCTGCTGCGTGCAAGGCAAACGCCCTCCCCACTGTGCTATTGTTCCAGCTCCATCAATTAATTTTTAAGAGTTAAACTTTTTACTGAACATGTTACAAAAGGCCTAGTCAAAAGACCAAAACCGGGACTTGGAGCTATAGTATAGCGGGTAGGGCGTTTGCCTTGTATGCGGCCAACCCAGGTTTGATTCCCAGCATCCCATAGGGTCCCCCGAGCACCAGCAGGAGTGATTCCTGAGTGCAGAGCCAGGAGTAACCTCTGTGCATTGCCGAGTTTGGCCCTCCCAAAAAAAATACCAAAAAAACCCCAAAAAGACCAAAACCCAGGTCATCATTGGATTCCTCAGATTCTTCTTTCTTTGCTTCCACTTTCTTCTCCTTTGCTGGTGCAGCAACATTGGCTCTTGGCAGTTTTGATCCTCAGTACCCTATGGGGTACTGAGGATCGAACCTGGCTGTGTGTGCAAGGCATTACCTGCTGCACTGTCTCTTTGGCCCCAAATTGCATTTTTATTTGATTTTGGGATTTGGGGCCACACCTGGCTGTGCTCAGGACTTACTCCTGACTCTGGTGGACTGGGATGGGGGGGAACCTTCAAGAATTCCGGGGCCCAAACCCCCGCAAGCTATGCACAATGCAAGTGCCCGACCCACTTTACTATCTCTCCAGCTCTCGGTTTGTTTTTCTGAGAGTTTGTTTCCTATTTTCGGACTCCACCTCTCCAGCCCACCTCGCTGGGCTCTGCTCAGGTGCATGCGCGTGGCCGTGGCGCGGGGGGGGGGGGGGGGGGGAGCGCTGCTTCTTCTTCTTCTTCTTCTTCTCCTTCTCCTTCTCCTTCTCCTCCTCCTCCTCCTCCTCCTCCTCCTTCTTCTTTTCTTCTTCTTCCTCCTCTTCCTCCTCTTCCTCCTCCTCCTTCTTCCTCCTTCTCCTCCTCCTCCTCCTCCTCCTCCTCCTCCTCCTCCTCCTCGTGACACCCAGCAATGCTCAGAGGTTACTCCTGGCTTTGCACTCAGGAATTACTCCTGGCAGTTCTTGGGCAACCATATGGGATGCCGGGGGTTGAACATGGGTCGGCCGCGTGCAAGGCAAACACCTATTCGCTGGACTATCGCTCCAGCCCCCATTCTTCTTAATTACACTGTGGGAGTCCCGGAGTCATTGGAACTATGCTGTGTGCATGTGGGAAGCACCAGGGTTCGAACTCATGGCCTCGTCTTGTAAGGAATGTGTGCTTTTTTCTTTCTTTCTTTCTTTCTTTCTTTCTTTCCTTTTTTTGGAGTGGGCTAAGTCTGGCTTTCTGGCACAGGACTGACAACTTTGAAGTGGATCCTAATACAGGAAAACTGACCGTGAAAAACTGTTCGTTGCTGGACCGGGAGAAGCAGGCCGTGTACTACCTCACGCTGCAGGCCACAGACAGTGGTGGCCTGTCTACCACCACCAACCTGCAGATCGATCTGGAGGACATCAACGACAATGCGCCCAGAGTCACTGGCACCTACAACATCTTCATCCAGGAGGGACAGAACAGTAAATTCACTGAGTGTCTCCAGGTGGGAGTGGTATACACTTGGTGGTGGGTGTGGGACAAGGGTTGGAATCTGAGCTCTGCTGTGTGGCATTTAGAAAAATCACTTGGCCTCTCTGATCCTCCCGTTCCTTTTGCGGGGAAAAATGCAGCCAATTCTAGTCCTTGCGGGGAATCATGAGCAAAATGGCTACAGAGTGTGCTTAGCACAAGGTTTAGCCTAGAGCAAATTCCAAAAAGCAGGGTGCTTTATGGTATTTAGTTCTTTTGGGGGGTCACACCTGGCGGTGCTCAGGGGCTACTTCCGGCTCAGTGCTCAGGGAGCACTCAGCAGTACATAAGGGATCATAAGGTTCTGGGGTTGGAACCCAGGGCTCCTAACATGCCGTGCATGTTCTCTAGCCCTTTGCATATTATTCTTCTATGATTTATGTCTTTGATTTACACCAAAAAGATAATTTGCTGACATATTTATTATGAAGCAAGATAAGGGGCCAGAGTGATAATTCAGTGGGTAAGATGCTTGCTTTGCATGCAGCTGACCCAGCTTCGATCCCTGACATCCCAGAGGGTGTTCTGATCACTGTCAGGAGCAAGCCCCGAGCACCTCCAGGTTTTAAAACTCCCCCAAAGAAAGAAAAATCCAGAACACAGAAAACCAACGAGAAACCAAGGATATGATTCAAAGGGCCTAACACGTACCCTGCATATGTGTTTTGGGGTAAGAATTTTCCAAGAAGTCTCAAACAGGCTTGTTTGCTGAATCGAAGAGCCTTTCCTAGCGCACAGGGGCTGCCCGACCTGAGAGCAGGGGTCTCTGTGTGTCCCAACCAGCCCCGAATCTGCGTCCAGGCAAAGTTTCTTACCATTCCTGGGTCTGGAGCAAGCAATATTACAGCAGGTAGGGCGTTTGCCTTGCACGCGACCGACCCAGGTTCTTCCCCAGCATCCCAAAGTCCCCTGAGCATGAACAGGAGTCATTCCTGAGTGCAGAACCAGGAGTAACCCCTGAGCATCGCTGGGTGTGACCCAAAAAGAAAAAAAAGTTTTTAACCATTCCTTATCACATTCTGCTTGACCACATCAATTAACTATCACTTTAGTTAAAGCAAACAAGCACAATTTCAGCCCGGAAACCCGGTGTTAAGTGGTGAGCTTTGATCGGTTCATGGGGGTATACATTGTTCCTCTTTCTAGCAGAGGAGGGAGCAAAGGATGACGTCTATGTCCAAAGCATCCTGGCCTCGGAGCACCTCCTCTACCTTCCTCCCGCTTCCCAGCTATATATATTTTTTAATTTTTATTAGTGAAACACCATGAGGTACAGTTGTAGACTTACAAATTTTTGTGCTTGGGTTTCAATTATACAATGATCAAACACCCATCCCTCCACCAGTGCCCATTTTCCACCACCACGGATCCCAGTATCCCTCCCACCCCCCATCCCACCATCCCACCCTGCCTTTGTGGCAGGGCATTCCCTTTTGTTCTCTCTCTCCTTTTGCGTGTTGTGGTTTGCAAAAGAGGCATTGAGTGGCAATCATGTTCGGTCTATAGTCTAACTTTCAGCATGCTTCTCCCATCCTGGGAGGATCATCCCAACACCCTTTATTTGGTGCTCCCTTCTCTATCTGAGCTCCCTTTTCCTCTAGCATGTGCAGCTGACCTCCAAGCCATGGAGCAGACCTCCTGGTACTAATCTCAGCCACTCTTGGGTGTTAGTCTCCTATTTTGTTACTTTATGTTCCCCAGATGAATGTTTGACCACATCAATCATTTCGCTTAACATGATACTATCCGTGTAGTACCGCTTGTATGTAAATTTCATGACTTCATCATTTCTAACAGCTACGTAGTACTCAACTGTGTAGATATACCAAAGTTTCTTTAACCAGTCATCTGTTCTTGGGCATTCAGATTTTTTCCAGATTCTGGCTATTGTAAAGAGTGCTGCAATGAATAAACAAGTGCAGATGTCACTTCGACTATACATTTTTGCCTCTCTGGGATATATTCCCAGGAGTGGTATTGCTGGGTCAAATGGGAGCTCAATTTCTAATTTTTGGAGAATCGTCCATACTGTTTTCCAAAAGGGCTGAACCAGTCAGCATTCCCACCAGCAGTGAAGGAGGGTCCCTTTCTCACCACATCTGCGCCAACACAGGTTGCTTTTGTTCTTTTGGATGTGGGCCAGTCTCTGGTATGAAATGATATCTCATTGTTGTTTTGATCTGCATCTCCCTGATGATTAATGATGTAGAATATTTTCTCATGTGCCTTTTTACCATTCGGATTTCTTCTTTGAGAAAGTTTCTGTTAATTTCGTCGCCCCATTTTTTGATGGGGTTGGATGTTTTCTTCTTGTGGAGTTCAACCAGTACTTTGTGTATCCTTGATATCAACCCCTTGTCGGATGTGTATTTGGAGAATATCCTTTCCCATTCTGTAGACTGTCTTTGTATTTTGGTCACTGTTTCTTTTGGACAAACTTGCAGGCTATCGAATGTAGCCTGCCCACAGGGCAGAGTCTGGCAAACTCCCCGTGGCCTACCAAATATGCCAAATACCAGTAACAATGATGGGTCTCATTCTCCTAAAGAGCCGTGAATATAATCTCAGGGCTAGGATGAAAGAGACGTTACTGGGGCCTGCTCGAGGCAATCGACGATTAACAGGATGATGAAATGAAATGAAATGAATTTCTTTTGAGGTGCAGAAGCTTCTTAATTTAAGATAGTTCCATTTGTCTATCTCTGTTTTCACTTGCTTGGCCAGTGGCGGCGTGACATCTTTGAAGATACCATTAGCTTCACTATCATGGAGGGTTTTGCCAACTTTGTTTTCAATGTTCCTTATGGATTACAGTCTGATGTTGAGGTCTTTAATCCATTTTGATCTTACTTTTGTACATGGCGTTAGGCAGAGATCTGAGCCCACTTTTTTGCATGTAGCCATCAAGTTTTGCCAGCACAATTTGTTAAAGAGGCTTTCCTTGCTCCACTTCACTTTTCTTGCCCCCTTATCAAAGATTAGATGATCATATGCTTGGGGGAGGGGGAGATGTCAGTACCAGCTATCTTTTCTCAGCCACTTGCTTTTCTGCTTACTTTGAATCATCTCATCGCAGATGGGAAGCCTTGGGTTTTGATCCCCAACTCTGCAAAAAAAGAAAAAAAAAAGATCTTAGGAGCCAGGATGATAGCACAGCGGGTAGGGTGTTTGCCTTGCACGTGGCAGACCCGGGTTCAATCTCTGGAACCCCACATGGTCCCTGAGCCCCTCCGGGAGTAATTTCTGAGTGCAGAGACAGGAGTAAGACTTGAGCATCGCTGGGTGTGGCCCTCAAATAAACGCAAACACAAAGGCAATGGCTGATCCGGGGGTTTCTGGGGGGATACCCAATGGCTCATGCTTGCTTGCCCCCGTGTCTCTTCACAGGCCTTTGATGACGACCAGCCAGGAACCGACAACAGTCGCCTGCAGTTCGAAATAGAAGACTCGAGTTACAGCCAGAACTTCTCAGTGAACGCCTCAGGTTGCATCTTCAATTTGGAGCCCCTGGACCGAGAAAGCATCGACCTTGACCAGAATGGTCGCATTGTGCTGACAGTGAAAGTCAGTGACTGTGGCGACCCAGTCTTGAGTACCTTGGTCAATGTCACCATCACTGTGGAGGTAAAGCCTGGCTCAGGCGGGACGGGGCTAGAGAGGGTTGGGGGCCTGCCCAGGGATGGGTGGGGGGTGGACACAGCCCGAAGGGACACAGGGCGTGGTCTCGGGGAACCCTGGAGGGGATATGGGTGTGTCCAGGGGGTTGTCCTGGGCATTGATCTGGGAGTTGGGTGTATCCTGAGGGTGATCTGGAGCTGGACTCGGTCCTTAAGTGGTCCAGGACTGGGCGTGTCCGGGGCGTGTCTGGGGCTGGGCGTGTCCAGGGAGGGGCGTAGTGTGGGGTGGGCGTGGTCTGGGAACTGGCCTTGTCCGGAATGGGATGGGGTGTGGGAGTGGGCGTGGTCTGAATCTGGGTGTGGCCTGGGCATGGTCTGATCTGGGGCAGGATAGGCCCAGGACTGGGGACCTCTTGAGTCACCCTTCAGCAGTCCTAGCTGAACGCTTGCGGCGAAGAGAAGAGACAACCGTGATTTCTTTTTTTTTGGGGGGGTCACACCTGGCGATGCTCAGGGGTTACTCCTGGCTTTGCACTCAGGAATCACTCCTGGCGGTGCTCGGGGATGCTGGGAATTGAACCCGGGTCGGCCGCGTGCAAGGCAAACGCCCTACCCGCTGTGCTATTGCTCCAGCCCCATCCATGATTTATTTCTTTATTTTGGTTTGGAGATCCCACCTGGCTCCTGGCTCTGTGCCCAGGAATCCCTCCTAACAGAGCCCAGGGGGGATACTATGCGGTGCCCAGGATGGAACCCCAGGTTCGTCGCGTGCAAGGCAAGCGCCTTCCCTGTGATGTTAGCTCTCTGGCCCCAGCTATTAGTATTTCCATCCTTTGGTGCTAGGGAGAAAGAACAGGTCCTTACCACACCAGTGATAAAGAGACACAGTGGGGTACACAGTATCCTGCAGGGCCGGTACTCGTCCCTGCTCCACCATCCCACGGACCAAGAGTGAGGTCACATATGGAGCAAAGGGTCTTTGTTTTGTTTTGGGAGGAGGGATTGGGGCCACATCCCACAGAACCTGGCGGTGCTTGGTGAAACATACACAGTCCCTATAGAACCATAACCAGCAAGGCAAGCACTTTCTCCCCTGCACTAAGAGAGAGAGAGAGAGAGAGAGAGAGAGAGAGAGAGAGAGAGAGAGAGATTCTGAAGTGAGTGCTCTGGGAACCACGGGTGCTGGGGATGAAGCCCAGGCTTCCTCCATGCTCCAACCCTTCAAGCCATCTCCCCAACTGCCTCCCCCAAGACTTCAGAACCCCAAGTGTGTGACCTAAGGAGTGAGTTCAGATGGCCAGTAGAAAGGGTTGGCTTTTGAGCCAGGCTCTGGGGAGGTTGACTCTTTTCTTTTTTTAATTTTTGTTTTGGGGTCACACCCGGCAATGCTCAGGGGTTACTCCTGGCTCTGCACTCAGGAATTACCCCTGGTGGTGCTCAGGGGACCATATGGGATGCTGGGAATCGAGCCCGGGTTGGCAGCGTGCAAGGCAAACGCCCTCCCCGCTGTGCTCTCGCTCCACCCCCAGAGGTTGACTCTTGTGTGTAAATGTGTGTGGGGGGAGCTCCCAAGGTCTCTGGGCTCAATTCTGTGTCTGCCCACAGGACATCAATGATAACATCCCCTTCTTCAACTCCTCCAGCTACAATTTCTCCGTGGCGGAGAGAGTTTCTGGTAAGTCCCCACCTTGGGCAGGGCAGGGTCTGAAACTGGGGGGAGTCTGATGTTCAGACATGAGTGCAGAAGGCATTTTATTTATTTATTTATTTATTTTTGCTTTTTTGGGTCACACCTGGCTCTGCACTCAGGAGTTACTCCTGGCAGTGCTCAGGAACATGGAATGCCATATGGAATGCTGGGAATCGAACCCTGGTCGGCTGCGTGTAAGGCAAACGCCCTACCCGCTGTGCTATCTCTCCAGCCCCCGGCATTTTATTTTTAATTTTTGTTTGATTTTGGGGCCACACCCAGTTGTGCTCAGGACTCTGAACTCAGAGATCACTCCTGGCGGTGCTCAGGGGACCCTGTGGGATACCAGGGATCGAACCTGCGTCGGCAGTGTGCAAGGCAAGTGCCCTCCCCGCTGTCCTATGGCTCTGGTCCCAGAAGGCGTTGTTTTTCGGTCCCCAGATGTCCAGGTGGGCGTGGTCGCCGCCGAGGATGCAGACCAGACGACCGCCAACAACCGCATCAGCTTCCGCCTCGAGGGCAGCGGATCCAGTAACTTCATTGTGAAAGCGTCCTCCTCCGATCTGCCCTGGGGGCAGGCCCAGGGTCTCCTCTGGCTGCCCCCCGATGTGAGGCTCGACTACGAGACCCAGAAAATCTACAGCTTCAACGTGACAGCGGAGAACCCCGATCCTGGCGACCCTTCAGCCACGGCCAGCGTCACTGTGTGGGTGCTGGACGTGAACGACGAGCCGCCCGTGCTGGAGGCTGCCTCGCTGCAGCGCGTGTCCGTGAACGAGAACGGGTCGCAGGTCTGGGAGGTGACTCAGGTGAAGGCCAAGGACCCCGACACCACGGCCCAGCTGGAGATCCAGCAGGTGAACGTCTCCTGCGCCAAGGACGGAGTAGTCGTGGACAGCAGCCTCTGCAGCAACTGGTTCTCTGTGAAGCCCAACGGCTCTGTGGTCATCAGTGACAGCATGGCCATTGATTACGAGACCTGCGACCAGGTGACCCTGATCGTGAGGGCCTATGATAAGAACACAGAGGAAGGCTTCATGGCTTACAGCAACAATGGTGAGGGGGCCTGGTGTGGGGGACTCAGTAATTACTGGTTTTTTTTTCCATTTTGTTGGGGTCACTACACACACACACACACACACACACACGGGTCTGCTCTGCGTAAGGCAAGAGCCCTCCCCACTGGACTCCGCAATTTACATGTAAAATACATGTAAAATATATGCAAAAGCGCCCTGGGCTGCCATTCCCTGCCCCATATCATCTTTTCATTTCTTTGTTTGGGGGCCACACGTGACTATATGGGATACTGGGGATCAAACCCAGGTCAACCATGTGCAAGGCAAGTGCTCTTCCCGCTGTGCTATTGCTCCGGTCCATAATCTTTTTTTTTCTTCTCTTTTGTTTTTTGTTTTTTAATTTTGTTATTTTTTTAATTAATTTTTTTAATTTAATTAATTTTTTTTTTCTTTTTGGGTCACACCTGGCAATGCACAGGAGTTACTCCTGGCTCATGCACTCAGGAATTACTCCTGGAGGAACTCGGGGGACCATATGGGATGCTGGGAATCGAACCTGAGTGGGCCGCATGCAAGGCAAATGCCCTCCTTGCTGTGCTATCACTCTTAATTTTAAAAAAATTATTTTATTTTATTTTATTATTCTTTTGCTTTTTTGGGTCACACCCAGTGATGCTCAGGGGTTACTCCTGGCTCTGCACTTCAGAATTACTCCTGGAAGTGTTTGGGGGAATTAAAAAAATTTTTTTAAATAATTTGGGGCTGCAATTGGCTATACTCAGGGGTTACCCTGGGTCTGTGCTCAGGAATCATTCCTGGTGGTGCTCACGAGACCCTGTGGGATGCTGGGGATCGAACCCAGGTCAGCTGTGTACAAGGCAAATATCCTTCCCATTGTACTATTGCTCCGGCCTATGCCCCACACGATTTCAACTTGGAGTCTAGGCACTTGGGGGAGAGGACTCAAAATGGGGGAGCACATGCTTTACACGGAGGAGCCCCAGATTCTATCCTTGGCATGGGGTGGTCCCCCAGGCCCTGCTGGGAGTAGTCCCCTCAAGCCAGTCTTGAGTACTACTGGGTGTAGGTCTAAAGTTTAAAAAAAAAATTTTTTTAATAAAAAAAAGAACATTCGGGGGCTGGAGTGATAGCACAGCGGGTAGGGCGTTTGCCTTGCACACGGCCGACCCGGGTTCGATTCCCAGCATCCCACATGGTCCCTCGAACCCCACCAGGAGTGGTCCCTGAGCACAGAGCCAGTAGTCAATCCCCGAGCACTGTCGGTGTGACCCAAAAATAGAAGAACGTTCACCATGATTATGGAATCCTCCTCCCGACCAGGAGCTCTGCCAGACACCTCAGAGGCCTTGATTCTTTTCTTTTTCTTTTTTTTTTTTCTTTTTGGGTCACACCCGAAGATGCACAGGTGTTAATCCTGGCTCTGCACTCAGGAATTACTCCTGGCAGTGCTCATATGGGATGCTGGAAATCGAACCCGGGTCGGCTGAGTGCAAGGCAAATGTCCTACCCACTGTACTGTCGCTCCAGGTCCCCTTGAATTCATTTTTAAAGAATTTTTTATTTTTGCTCTTTGGTCACACCCGGCGATGCTCAGGGGTTCCTCCTGGCTCTGCACTCAGGGAATTACTCTTGGCGGTGCTCGGGGGACCCTGTGAGATGCTGGGAATCGAACCCGGGTTGGCCGCGTGCAAGGCAAACACCCTACCCGCTGTGCTAATGCTCCACCCCTGATTCATTTTGAGGGGGAAGAACTCCCCAGCAGAGACTGGCGATGCCCTGGGTCAGGCTCGGTCTGGTGATGCAGGCTTGATGGTACGATGCTGGCGTTCCTATGGGTTGCGGAGCGCTGTTCCAGCCTGGCAGAGAGCTGGGTGTGACCAGGGTTTGCACTGTCGTGTGTGCAGAATGAGGGGGCCCCATGCAAAGCCAGGATCCAACTCGGCCTATGAGCCAGCCCTCTGAACCATATCGCCAGCCTGGGCTTTTATTCCCTCTTGCACTCACAGACCATACAAGCCAGGCACTCCCTATTTCATTTACATAGGAGGAATTTGAGGTGCACAGAGGGGTCTTTCAGGGGCTGGAGTGATAGCACAGCAGGGAGGGCGTTTGCCTTGCACGCAGCCAACCCGGGTTCGATTCCCAGCATCCCATAGGGTCCCCCGAGTTCCTCCAGGAGTAATTCCTGAGTGCATGAGTCAGGAGTAATCCCTGTGCATTGCCAGGTGTGACCCAAAAAGCAAAAACAAACAAAAAAACCCAAAAAAAAACAGCTGCCAGTGGAGTGGTCTGATGAGACCTTCCTGGGCTGGGCTCTTGCCATGTGACCTTGAATAAGTTGCATGCCCTCTCTGAGCTGCTTTGGGGGAAGGGGTTGGCGGATGCTAGGAACAGGATAGAGGCTCCTGTTCTGGGTCAGAGCTTGGCCTGGAGCCCAGCACCCACCAATATCATCCCTTAGGAAGCCTCATCATCTCCATCGAGGATGTGAATGACAACGCACCCTATTTTCTGCCCGTTGATCAAACCTTCGGTAAGCAGACACATCCCTGTCTTCCCTCTTCCTCTTCACATGGGTCCAGGACAACCTTGGGCATCTAATTAACCTCCCTGTGGGGCTGGAGCGATGACACAGCGGGTAGGGCATTTGCCTTGCACCGGCTGACCTGGGTTTGATTCCCAGCGTCCTATATGGTCCCCTGAGCACTGTCAGGAGTAATTCCTGAGTGCATGAGCCAGGAGGAACCCCTGTGCATCACCTGGTGTGACCCAAAAAACATAAATAAATAAATAAATACACCTCCCTGAATCCCAGATGAACCCTTAGAAGAAGAGGAAGTTCTTCATTCTGCCGCTCCCTCCCGTTAAACAGGAGGAAAGGGGGTATAGAGAGACCTTTGACGGCGGGGAGGGCACTGGCCTTATATGCGGCCGACCCGGTTCAATCCCCTGAGCCCTCCAGGAGTAAATCCTGAGCACAGCCAGGTGTGACCTCAAAACAAAACAACACATAACGAAAATCAACAACCCCCCCCCAAACCCCAAATAAAACAAAAGTTTGCTCCCAGACTTTTCCCTAAATCACATTCAACCCTGCTGGATAGTACAGCAGGGAATGCGCTTACCTTGCAGGCAGCCAACCCGGGTTCAATCCCCAGCATCCCATACGGTCCCCTGAGCCCGTTAGGAGTGATTCCTGAGCACAGAGCCAGGAGTCAGTCCTGAGCACCACCGGGTGTGGTCCAGAAACAAAACAAACCTATCTAACCCTGAGCACCTTCCCCCTCTGACACTCTCTCTGAGCCTCAGTTTGCCCATCTTGCACATGGAAGGTGGACGAACCCAACTAAAAACTTGGGGGTCCCCTTGAGCGCCACCAGGAGTAATTCCTGAGGGCAGAGCCAGCAGTAAACCCTGAGCATTTGGGTGTGACCCAAAAAGCAACCCCCCCAAAACAAACAAACAAACAGACTTGGGGATAGTTGTCATAGGGTCTGGAGGGTAGGGAACTTGAAAAGAGGGTTGAAGGGAGGAGTCCTAAGCTGGTTTTTCTGGGCAACCCTTTGGCAGAGGTGGGGGGTGAGTACTGTTTCCCGGCCCACTCACCCACTTCTGGTCCTTGCTCCTAGTGATCATCTGGGAACTGACCAGCCCAGGAAAGCAGTTGGCATATATCCAGGTAAGTGTCTGACTCTGCCCTTTGTCAATGGCCTCAGCCTGGGTATGTGTCTTGGGAAGCTATTGGAAAGAGTTCTACCACCATCACTCCCCCAAATGGTTTTTTATTGTTTCTTTCATTTTTTCCCTCTTTTTTTTGGGGCGGGCTGGAGTGATAGCACAGTGGTAGGGTGTTTGCCTTGCATGCAGCCAGCCCCGTTCGATTTCTCCGCCCCTCTTGGAGAGCCCGGCAAGCTACTGAGAGTATCGCGCCCGCTCAGCAAAGGCTGGCAAGCTACCTGTGACGTATTCGATATGCCAAACACAGTAACAACAAGTCTCACGATGGAGACGTTACTGGGCCCGCTCGAGCAAATCGGTGAACAACGGGAGGACAGTGCAGTGCAGTTTTTTGGGCCACACCCACTGGTGCTCTGGCTTTACTCCTGGCTCTGTGCTCAGGGATCACTCCCGGTGGTGCTCAGGTGACCCTGTGGGATGCTGGGGATCAAACCTGGGTCAGCTTTATAAAAGGCAAACACCCTCCCCGCTGGACTACCACTCAGTCCTCAACACTTTTTTTTTTTGAGCAGGGAGCACTGGCAATGCTCAGGGGTTATTCCTGACTCTGTACTCAGGAATTACTCCAGGTGGTACTCAGGGGACCAAAGTGCTGGGGACCAAACCTGGGTGCAAGTTCAGCACCCTACCCTCTGCACTATTTTTCTGACCCCTGGTCCTCTGCCTTTTTGGTGTGTGTGTGTGTGTGTGTGTGTGTGTGTGTGTGTGTGTGTATAATGACAGTGTCAGGATTGAAACCAGGATCTCACACATGCAAGACAAGTGTTTTTATACAAGCCCGACTCTCTGTGCGTGGTGTGTTTCAATGGATAAATGGCTCACCTTCACTGAGACCGGGGCAGGAAAATGTCTCCCACCAGGAGCCACCGAGGACATTAAATAGAGGCCTTGGTTCCTGGAAGCTCCTGGGGTCTCCTCTCCTCTGTTACCTGCAGTTGTAGACTGGTCGCCAGTCTAACATCCAAATGTCATCCCCTCTTCCTTCCAGGCCAAAGACAATGACTCAGTGAAAAATGGGAACATCCAGTTCTCCATTGTGAAAGTGGAATTTGTCCCGAAGGAAGGAACCATGACCTCTTTCTCCCAGGACTTCCGGATCACCACCTCCTCCGAGGCCAGATTGTTCACCGGCAGCATTGAGTAACTAGGGCCAGTCCCTGGAAGAGGGGAGAGGGAGGGCTCCAGGTAGTGAGTCAACCATCCTAGGAGGTCATCAAGTGGCCACCATTCCACATCTATTTTCCTTCTCTAGACTGGTGACCAGCCTTGACGCCAAACTCCAAGGCACCTACGAACTGACAGTTCAGGCTCAGGACATTCCTTCCTCCGGTCCTCCCCTCCAAACGCAAACTACCCTGAATGTGAGTGTGGGTCCTGCCTCTGACTTTGCGGGCCTCCTCTACTGGCCTCTGCAGCCTGTGTACCCTAACTGCCCCCCGGGTGCCTCCGCAGATCTTCACCGTGGATCAGAGTTACCGCCTAACCTTGGAATTCTCCTCTAGCAAGGATGAGGTGGGCGCTAACGTGGAGAAGATTAAGAAGTACGTCTGGGGGTCTTGGGAAGATCCTGGGCAGGGGATGGACAGAACCTAAGAGCCTAGCCACGCCTTTATGAAATCTCTCTCAAGTCCCTCCCCTTACACACACACACACACACACACACACACACACACACTCACTCACACACACACACACACACACACACACGCTCAACCTTTTTGCTCTCTTTGACTATGACCGGAGCAGCAGAGAGGCCTGAAAGGGACTGCCGGGGATGGTTGCAAATGTTGTGCACTGCACAAAAGCTCTGAGCTCCTGAAGCTACAAACCCAGCCCCACATTCCTGAACACAGAACCAGCAGTAACCTCTGAGCACTGCTGGGTGTGTCCCCCAAAACAAAACAAAGTAAGAACGGGAGACCAGAGTGATAGTACAGCAGGTAGAGCATTTGCCTCGTATGTGGCTGACCCGGATTTGACTCCCAGTGTAGCATAGGGTCCCCCGAGCACCACCAGGAGTGATCCCTGAACCTAGAGTCCCCAAATTGGGGGCTGGAGTGATAGCACAGCGGTTAGGGCATTTGCCTTGCGTGCAGCCCGACCCGGGCTCGATTCCCAGCATCCCGTATGGTCCCCCCGGCACAGCCAGGAGGAATTCCTGAGTGCATGAACCAGGAGTAACCCCTGTGCATCGCCGGGAGTGACCCAAAAGGCAAAATACCCCCAAAAAACAGAGCCCCCAAATCGAAAACAAACCCAACCCCAGAGAAAGGGGCTCTTGGTCTCCTCTGCCCCGAGGTGCTCCCTACTTTCCCAGTGAGTCGGCCCAGAGGCGTACCTCTCTCCAACTCCTGCTTCCATGGGCAGAGACCTGGCTGCGGGCTTGGGTTCAGCCCCTCCCCCTAAGCCTTTGCCAATTCTGTCCTTGGCAGGGCTCTGGGCCTGGCCACCAGGACCACCGTCTACGTCGTGGACATCAAGGACAAAGACTCAACTGTGCGGTGAGTGTCCACAGACCTTGTGGCTGCGGGAAGACAGGGCCACGGTTGGGAAAAACCCAGAGCAACCCTTGGGGGCTGACCCTTCTCCCTCCTGCCCACCTCAGGGCCCAAGGCCACACCTACCTGGACGCCTACTTTGTCTATCCCAATGGCACAGCCCTGAACCTTGACCAGCTGAGTGTGTGAGTAGCACTGCCCTGTGTGTGTGTATGTGTGTGTGTGTGTGTGTGTGTGTGCGCACGCAGGGGGCGAGGGAGGGGGTGTCCGTGCCTTCATTATCAGGCTGAGTGGGGGTTCTCCGACCAGGATGATTCGAAGCGACCAGAGCTCACTGATGGAGTTACTGGATCTGGGACTAGTGGTGCTGGTGAGTGGGGGCAGGACAGAGGTCATGGGGGGATGGGTGGGTGGGTGGCTGGTGGTGGATGTGGGCAGCAGAACCCCTTCACCCCGACTCTTGCTTCTCCAGGGTGCCGAAGACAAACAGAACTCCGACCTGACGCAGAGGCTCAGCGGGGTCATCATAGGCCTGGGGGTCGCCCTGGCTCTGCTCATCGCCATCATGACCACGGCACTCGTGTGTGTGCGGAGGAAGTATGTCTGCCCCCGCCCCCCTTCCCTCGCGGCTCCCAACCTGGGAGACCGGGGTGATGTCTCGGAGGGCCGGAGCCTGGGCTTTGCACGTGGGAACCCCGAGTTCCATCCCTGGCAACCACAGGGTCTCACCAGCACTGCTGAGCGTGTCCCACCCCCAACCTCCCCACTGCCAAAAAGGAAGAGCTGGGGTTTGGGCCCTGGAGGGCTATAGCCAGCCCATCCCCAGTGACCCGCGGTCATCCTGGGTGGGGCGCCTTCCTGCCCTTAGCCGTAGTTTCCTCCGTTCTAGATTCCCAGGGGCAGGTTACCTCTCACACATGGGGCAAGATTTAGACTTAGGGACTGAGGATTTTGTTTGTAGGGGATATACCCAAGTAGTTGTAGGGGGCGGGGCCAGGGATGCACCCAGCAGAGCTGGGGGCGGGGCCAGAGACTCATACAGTAGCTCTGGGGGCGGGGCCAAGAGCGCACCAAGTAGCGCTGGGGGCGGGGCCAGGACTCACCCAATAGTGCTGGGGGCGGGTCCAGAGACTCAACACAGTAGCCCTGGGCGCTAGGCCAGGGACACCCAGTAGGACACATCATTAGCACTGGGGGTGGGTGAGAGACACAGCAGAGTCACAGTAAGACCTGGATACAACCGGGTATGGTGCTAAACCACTGTCGCACTGTAGCGCTGTTCTCCCATAGTTCATCGATTTGCTCAAGCGGGCATCAGTAAGGTCTCCAATGTGAGACTTGTTGTTACTGTTTCTGGCATATCGAATAGACCATGGAGAGCTTGCCAGGCTCTGCCGTGCGGGTGGGATACTCTGGGTAGCTTGCTGGGCTCTCTGAGAGGGATGAAGAAATCGAACCCAGGTTGGCCGCGTGCAAGGCAAACGCCCTACCCACTGTGCTATCGCTTCAGCCCATGGTCCCAAAACCAAAAAAAAAAGAAAGTGGGGGGCTGTTTTAGGACCGGAGAAAGATAATTCAAAGAGCAGATTGCTTTCCATGGAGAGCCCTGGGTTCAATTCCTGGCACCACCAGCATTGACCCTCTGTGCACGGAGAAAGGCATTGCTTCTGAGTCCTTCTCAAGGCCCCCAAACAAAACCCAAAAAAGAAGAAATGCTTGTTCTCTCCCCCATTTCAAGGAGTTTGCAATCATCAGCCCCCTCTGGGCTGGGTTCACAGCCTGGCCACTGGCCAGATATGTGGCATTTGGTTAACTCTTTCCTTCCTCTGGCTTGTCCCATGTGCCCTAAGAGGTGGTGCTCACAGCCGTCCCCGCCAGGGTTCTGCCGATGCCACACTCCCGGATACTGCCCAGGGCATCTGGCCAGAGGTGCGGGTGGCAGGCTCTGACTTCCAGGTAGAGACCCCCTTCCCTCCCGGTTTCCACAGCTACAAACGGGAACTTCGGGCTGTAAAGGCTGCCAAGGAGGCCCGCCAGACTACGACCGGAGTGACAACCACGTCCTCAGCCATCCCCGGGACTAACGTGTACAACTCTGATCGGTGAGTTGAGAGGAGAAGGGTGGTGCAAGAAGCCCTCTCTCGGAAGTGGGAATTTACAAGGGCGTGATCACGTCTTTGCATCTTTCCTCCAGGGCCAATCCCATTATGAATCTGGCCACCAAGGACCTGGGCTTCGAGTCTCAATCCTCCTGTAGTGACCCGGACCGCACCAGGTAATCGAGTACCGCCCCCCGCCCACGGGCAGGCTGCCTAAGTGGGTGTATGGAGTGGTGCCAGCAGAGGGTGGTAAGGCAGTGGTAGGGATAGAGGTGGGGCGGTGATGGAGAGACGCTGATAGTGGTGATGGTGCTGATGGGAGGGAAAGTGCCATGAGGGTGATGGCGATTGTGGGCTTGGTGGCGAGGATCATGGCAGGGGTGAGCGTGAAGGTGGTGGGGATGGAGTCGGCGGTTGGTGATGGCCAGCAGAAGTGACAGTGATGAAGACAGTGGAAGTGTGTGTGCTATCAAGGTGATGATGAAAGTGATGGTTATGAAACGAGTGGTCATGATGATACAAGTGTGGTGGTCATGGGGCAGTCAGGGCGATAGCACAGAGGGGAGGGTATTGGCCTTGCACAGGGCTGACCTGGGTTTGATTCCCGACACCCCAGGTGTGATCCCCACACACTGCCAGGAGAAATTCCTGAGTGCAGAGCCAGAAGTAACCCCTGAGTGTCACTAGGTGTGGCCTCCTAAAGCCAAAGCCAAACCAACCAACCAAAAAAAAAAAGATCATGTGGTGGTAGTGAAGTGGGAGTGGCCAGCAGTGAAGGGGGTCCTGATGATAGTGATAATGTTGATTTTGATGGTGATAATTATGATGGTGTTAGAAGTGATGACAGCAGTGATAAAATGACGCAGTTGAAGTGGTAAAAAATAATGATGGAAGAGGCTGGAGCAATAGCACAGCGGGGAGGGCTTTTGCCTTGCACACAGCTGACCCAGGTTCGATTCCCAGCATCCCATAGGGTCCCCTGAGCACTGCCAGGAATAATTCCTGAGCGCAGAGCCAGGAGTAATCCCTCAGCATCGCCAGGTATGACCCCCAAAATAATAATTTTAATAATGATAATATCATTATGATAATAATATACTCTCAGAGAGCCCAGCAAGCTACCGAGAGTATCTTGCCCGCATGGCAAAGCCTGGCATGTTCCCTGTGGTATATTCGATATGCCAAACACAGTAGCAACAAGTCTCACAATGGAGACGTTACTGGGCCCGCTCGAGCAAATTGATAAGCAAGGGGAGGACAGTGCTAATGATGATGGAAGTGAAGATTCTGGTGGTCCTTGACCCGAGTCAAGGCTGAGTTCGTGAATGACCTGAGCTCCTTATGCTTCCCCAGTCTCAACTCACTGGATGAAAACTCTGTGGACCTGGGAAAAGAGAAGGACAAGTTGGAAAAGAAGGTAGGATGAAGGATGAGCTGGTGTCTGGGGTTTCCGACGTGGGGTCTTTCTCTGAGGGGAGAGTTTCACAAGAGAGCTTCTAAGGCCTGCAGCTAACCTGGCCACATCTCTGTATCTGGCTGTGGAAACCCCCTTGATTTTGGAACGGGGTTCATTCTGTACTCCTCTTTCCCTATCCCCCCACCCTGGAAAATGATTTTTTCCTGTCATTTTTTTCATTTATGGTTTTTTTCACTTTTTTCCTCATTTTCCCCCACTTATTTGGATTTTGGATCATCAGCCATGGAGAATTTTAGTGAGGATCGAGCACATGAAAGTCACGTGGTGCAGAGCAAGGACTCAGACAGAAATCATGTGCTTTCCCTTTATGTGTATTTGTAAAAGATGAGGAGGGGGTGCTAGGAAGATGGCTCAAAGGGCTAAAACTTTACATGCAGGAGGCTGGGCACTGGGCAAGACTGGGTGTGGTCCCCAAATTAAAATAAAATTTATGGGGCTGGAGATAGTACAGTGGTTAGGGCGTTTTCTTTGCATGCAGCCTAGCTGGTACTCCATAGGGTCCTCCGAGCACTGCCAGGAGTAATTCCTGAGTGCAGAGCCAGGAGTAATTCCTGAGTGCAGAGCCAGGAGTAACCCCTGAACATAGCCGAATGTAACCCCAAAACAAAACAAAAACAAAAAAATAAACAGGGGGTGTGGAACTGGAGAGATGGTACAGCAGGTAAGGGACCGACCCAGATTCAATCTCTGGCATCTCATATGGTCCCCCGAGCCTGCCAGGAATATAGCCAGGTGTGGCCCTAAACAGACAAGGAAGGAAGGAAGGAAGGAAGGAAGGAAGGAAGGAAGGAAGGGAGGGAGGGAGGGAGGGAGGGAGGGAGGGAAAAGAAAAAAGCAAAAAGCAAAGGATGCTTTGGGGGATGAAAACTTAGGGGGTGAGTGGGTGAGAGAGGTACCTAGACCAAAGGAAACCATCTTAGCAGATCCGAGCTTGCGCTAGGCAGATGGTTCCGGTGGAAGCCAAAGCCGAACCCCCAGTGAGTAGTGAAGTTTGGAGATTCCAGGATGGAGCCGATCTGTAGCCTGGGAACACTGTGCCTGAGAACCCCCAGAAGCCCTCCAATCAGGAAGGAACTCAGACAGCCCACTCAGGAGGGACCCAAAACTATCCAATCAGGAGAGAGCCAAAACTGCCCAATCAGAAACGGTTCAACTACCCAATCAGGAAAGAATTAAAGAGCCCAGAACAACTTGTGGATTTCCAGCAGCTGCTGGACGCTCCATCCCCTCTTGCGTTGTTAGCCAGTGAGCCTGGGGTCTCCCAGGAGGACCCCAGAAGTCAAACTAGCTGTCTCTCCTCTCCTGACAAGGTGGGGAACACAGCGGGGCCATTTCCGGTACCTCCTTGGTGCCCAGACTCACTCATGATCTCCCTAAAACTCGGTGTGAGGTCACACAATCCTACTTTTCCCAGCAACTGCCCAAGTATAGGAAAGTTTACCAGGCGTTGTCGAACCGGAACCAGCTCTCCTGGCTTCCGAGCAGGTCATATGACCTTGGGCGGCGGCAATGTCTCATGTCAGGGGTCTGTGGAGGGTTAAGGGGAGCTTGGGCAGAAGGCTGAGCCCCTCCTGGGCCACCTCTCCACCAGTACCACTCCAAAGTATCCGCTAGGACACAGACAGGAAACTGGGGTGCCTGGGGGAGCAGGTAGGACCTCCGTCAACTCACCTTGCTTCTCTCGGTGGACTTACAGGCACACCCCTCTCTGGAGGAGATCACCCCGTCTTGCCTTCCCCTTCACCCCTTTTCCCTCTTTCCACAGAAGCAGCGCCAGAGGAGTGAGATGGAGGACGACAACGGGTTTCTGGGCGTAGTGCTGTCTGACAGAAAGGATAGCACGAGAGAACAGCAGAAAGTGGTTTTCTCCAACCCTACCTTTGAAGACACCCAAGTCTCGGATATATGAACTCCACCCCCCAGCCCTGTTTTCTAGCCTGCACCTCAGAAGCAGCGTCATCACCCCCCCCACTCCCCTCCGGCCTCCAACATAATATGTCAGGTGTCCTGTCCCCCTTCTCCCTGGAACAAAGGATGCTAACAAAGAATCGTGGGGACATTTTATTACCAATGTAGACGGAGACCATTTGTAGCCAAAGATCGCCACGGGAGTGGGGGAGGGCGGGGCGGGGAGGGGGGCAGATACTAGGAAGTCACAGGGACTTTGCGGGGGCTCACAGCACATGTGTGGAGGGGGAATGAGCGGTTGGAGAGGGCAGCTTTTAAAGAAGAATCTTAGTGGTCCAATGAGCTTGCCAGCATGTCCCGATACTCATGTCTGGATTCTTGAGGTCGGCTTTACCACCTGGGCTGCCTGTGATCTGTCAAGATCTCCAGCCCCATCGGAGCCCCTCTGGGACCCCCCCTTCCCTCTGCACCCCCGGGGCACTCCTGCTGCTCTCTTCATCCTGTCTGGGGCTTATGTGTGAACCAGGGTCAGGGAAGGGTGAAGTCAGATTCAGCGGTGGGGGGTGGGGCAGGGGAGGTGGGGGTTGAGACAGGAGTTGGGGAGATTTCCATCAGCATGCAAGAAATGCCCAGGCTATGGGGGCCAGCCCGCCGCGTGGACACACACACACACACACCCAGGACCCTATGTTCAGAGTCATGGGTACACTGGGGTGGGGGTGGGGGTGGGGTTCTCACACACCAGTCCTTGCACTCTTAGGAGTTTTAGGGACAGTTTCTTCCGTGCTGGGGACCTGAGCAGTTCCTGTCCCAGCGCCTGCCTCGGCTCTCCGGATTGGGTACTCTGGACAGGCTCCCAGGATGGCTCAGGGTGAGCGGAGGGAGGGAGGTGAGGAGACATTGGGGGCGGGGGGAGGGAATCAGGGCTGGGTTTGTAAGCTCGTGACCACAAGGGGAGCGGGGACCCGAGGGGGAGGGCTTGGGGCGGGAGGGGCAGAGGGGGCGCTGGAAGCCGCCTTGGGTCTATGGCACGTCTTCGAGGGGAACCCTCCTAGGGGCTAAGAAGGGAGGCCTGAGAAGGTCGGAAACCGGGCGTAGAAAACGGGGTTCGAGGGGGTTGTCGGGGGGGGGGGGGGAGTTGATCACTCGGCCGTGGGTCCGGCCCGCGAGCAGCACCGCGGCCGCCGCACGCTCTGCAGCAGCGCGCGGAAGAGGCCGGGCGGGCGCTTGGCGGCGCCGTCGGGGGGGCGCGGCGCGCACGGAGCCGGCGCGCCCCGGGCCGGAGGTCCGGGCTGCGGGGGGCGGCGCGGGGCCCCCCTGGCGGCCGTGCTCCTCGATCTGCCGCTCGAGATGCTTCTGGATGGCCATGCCCAGCACCTCGACCTCCATGGCCGCGCCGTAGACCTCCCACGTCATGCCTTTCTCGTCCCAGCTCACGTCGCGCACCGGCTCGGCCGCCTCCGGGGGCGCCACGGCGGCCGCCAGCGCCGAGCCGGGCCGCACCCGCACTTCGGGGAAGACGGGGGGCGCGGCTGAGGGCGCCGCGGCCTGCGGGGTCATGGGCCCCGTGGCCACCGAGCGCGTCTCCGCGGCGCCCAGCGACACCTGCAGCCCCGCGTCCCGGCGCGACGGCGGCCCGGGCGCGGGGCTGGGGACGCGCGGGGCCGCCTGGAAGCTGAAGGCCGGGCCGCCCGCGCCGTCCTGCGGGGACATGGGGCTCAGCGCCACCGACACGCACGCCTGCGCGCCCGCCTGGGTGCCCGCGTCCTCGCGCGGGGGCGGGGCGCTCGCGTCCCACGACGGCGCTTTGGTGAAATTGTCGCGAGTCCGGGGGGCTGCGGCCGGGGCTCCCGGGCTCTTCAACGGACCCGGCGGGATTTTGGGGGTCGGGGTAAGGGGCGCTGGCGCTGGCTCCGCGCGCCCCTGGCCACTCGTCGCCGCCGCCGCGCGGGGAGATGACGACGACGAAGCGCCAGCTTTGCCATTCGCCTGCCCGACGGCGGGGGTCTCCGTCTTCTCCAGAGTCAGGGGAGCCACCTGGCCCGCGTCGGTCTTCCCGGGAGGTGCCACCCCCACCTTCTCAGGGTCGCGGGGAAGCTGCTGGCGCGAGGCTCCGGGGTCCTCCTTCTCCAAGGCGCCTGGCGCCTCCCCTGCGCAGAGCGGGGGAGGCCCCTGGCTGGGGGGCTTTGTTCCTGGTTGACCCTCGGTGGTGGGTTCTGCGTTCCCTGAGGCTCGGGGCTCCACCTGTGCCCCGTTTCCCTCGGGGACCCCCGGTGCTTTCCCCGAGGACCCCGCGAGGGTGTTCCCGAGAGCCGTGGGGACCCCCTTTGCAGTAGAGGCTGGGTTCGCCGCCGCAAGGGGCACGGCCACTGCTTCCTTCCCCTTGCTCCCCGGCTCCCCTCTTCCCGGGAGGTCGGGATCTGCCTTCTCTGAGGAGGGGGAGCGGCCAGCAGGGGAGGCTCCCGCGGACCCCAAGCCTCTGGGCTCCCCCAGATCAGAAGACACAGGTTCTCTTTTTGCTGAAGACTCCGGATTCGTTCTTCCCGGAGGAGAGGTCGTGGAGCTGCCCAGAGAAGTGGGGCTCACCTTTCCGGGGGGCTCCTTGGCTGGGGGTACAGTCTCCGCCCTCCCCGCTGCAGCCGGGGGGCCCGAGGACGCGGGGGACCCATTCTGCACGCGGGCGGGCTCCGATTTTGCCGAGGGCGCGGGCGCCCCCTGTCGGTCACACGGGGTTTTGCTCATCCTCTCCGCCACCACCTCGCTCTTTGCAGAGGACGTGGGGTCCCGCGCTCCCGGGAGCTCTGGATCTTTTGTGGAAGACCCGAGGGCGCCTTTTCCCGTGGAACCAGCCTCAGTCAGCCCCGAGGGGCTAGAAGCTGCCTTTGTTGTGGACCCCAGAGGCGCGGTGTCCGCGGGTCCGGGCTGGGGTGCTGCCGTTGAGGCTCCTGGCTCTGACTTGGCGGGGGACCTAGGATCTAGCTTTGGTGCAGAAGCAGAACCCGCCCCTTGGGAGGAAGCCCGAAGCCCTTTTTCTGTATTCCTGGGCTCCTCCTTCCTTGGGGATCTTGTCTCCTCCTTACTGGAGCTCCCCAGCTCCGTTTTTACCTGGGGTCCCGGCCCCTCCTTCCTTGGGGTCCCAGGATTGAGGCTCCCCCCAGCCTCAGTCTCCCCTTGGCCGGAGATGGCAGAATCAGGCTGGCCTGCAAGCACAGCATCCGCCTTTCTTGAGGCGTCGGCGTCTTCCTTCCCAGCGGAAGCAGAACCTGCTGGGTTCCTGGCATCCTTCTCGGCATTCCTGTGCTCCGGGGATGAGAACTCGGTTGGTTTCCCAGACGGGCTGATTCCGGTTGTTCCTGAGATTGAGGTTTCATGGAGCCCAGAGGTCGCCTTGGGGGCTGCCTCTTGGGTAGGGGTGCAGGGCAAGGCAGAGCAAGCCGAGCTTCCCCCAGGGCCTTCAGAGCAGGGGCTGCCGTGTCTGGAGTCCATGGCGGGGCTCGGAGCAGGGGTGCGTCTGGAAAGTGCAGGACTGGCGGTCTGCCTGGAGGAGTCGCGGAAATCCCTCATGGCCAGTCCTCCTGTCCCCAGGCTCCCATCCTGTGGGCAGCAGAGGTCTGTGAGTTGGGGTCCCGGGGGGCTGGAGTTCTTTCGTAGCTGCTAGAGCCAGGCTGGGTGCTTCAGTACTGCCTGCCTCTTTCACAATTGGACCCCAGGGTTCTGAAAGGGAGAGAAAGCACACTCAGATTCAGGAGGTCCTCACTGAGCCCCGTGTCCCTGTTGAATCCCCCTCCTGCTGGCCTGACCACTGGAACCCAGACCATTTCCCCATTCAAAGCCCATTCATGCATCCCTCCACCATCACTGTATGCCTGAAACGCAGGCACGGAAGTTTGTAATTCTGTAACTGTACCTCATAGTGATTCACTAAAAAAATTTAAAAAATAAAAATGATGGGGGTATGGTGCCGCCAGCAGGTCAATCTGTACCTGTGAGGCGAGTGCATCAGCAGCCTCATGGCGCCTTCAGACTTCCAGATACCCCAAAATTGCTGCTGTGCCTTTGGCCAGACCCCAAAAACTTGGGGCAAAGTTTACCAAGAAAGTAAACGGCCAAAAGTTAGGTATGTGGGAAACACACCCACAAACCACCTCCGGCTCAGCTATATAATAGGAGGCAAGGCCTCTTTGGTTCCTGATTGAACTGCTTAATGGACATGATCCCAGAGACTCAGAAACGAATCTCAGAACCCAGTGGCTTTAGGTAGAAATGCGTCTGGTCTCTGCAGTAGGCTACCAGTGCTGGGCCAACCCAGGTGGAAATACGTTTTGTGCCTTGGCCTGTTCCCCCTGGCGGCCCAGTGGCCACCATCCTTCAGAGGCCACTGGATAGTCAGGTTTGGGTCCCCAGTGACGAGACACACAGGCCCTCACGGGATGGGGGTGGAGCTGGGCTTGTCCTCTCCACCCCAACGAGACCCCAAGTCATCGCCCACGAACAGCCTCTCTGGCTCCTCATCAAGCTGCTTAACGGCCATGATCCCAGAGACTCAGAAACAAATCTCAAAACCCAGTGACGTTTGGCAGAAATGCATCTGGACTCCACAGTACGTTACTGTCGCCTGGCCACCCCAGGGAGGAAAGGGTGTTGTCCCTCCACCTGCTCCCTCTTGGTGACTTGGTGGCTGTCATCCTCCAGAGGCCATTGGACAGTCAGGCTTGGGTCCGCAGTGACAAAACTTGTTGGGTCTCACGGGATGGGGGGGGAGGTGGAACCGGGCCTGTCCTCCCCACCCTAAGGAGACCCCAAGTCATCGCCCACAAACGGCCTCTCTGGCTCCTCATCAAGCTACTCAACGGCCTTGATCCCAGAGACTCAGAAACAAATCTCGAAGCCCAGCAGCTTTTGTCAGAAATGTGTCCGGACCCTGCAGTAGGTTACTGTCACCGGGCCACCCCAGGGGGGAATGGGTGCTGTCCCTCCGCCTGCTCCCTCTTGGCGACTTGGTGGCTGTCATCCTCCAGAGGTCATTGGACAGTCAGGCTTGGGCCCGCAGTGATGAAACTTATTGGCTCTCATGGGATGGGGGAGGGAGGTGGAACCGGGCCTGTCCTCCCCACCCTAACGAGACCCCCAAATCATCGCCCACAAACGGCCTCTCTGGCTCCTCATCAAGCTGATCAACGGCCTTGATCCCAGAGACTCAGAAACAGATCTTGAAACCCAGTGGCTTTTGTCAGAAATGTGTCCGGACCCTGCAGTAGGTTACTGTCACGGGGCCACCCCAGGGAGGAAAGGGTTCTGTCCCTCCGCCTGCTCCCTCTTGGCGACTTGGTGGATGTCATCCTCCAGAGGCCATTGGACAGTCAGGCTTGGGCCCGCAGTGATGAAACTTGTTGGGTCTCACGGGATGGGGGGGGAGGTAGAGCCGGGCCTGTCTTCCCCACCCCAATGAGACCCCAAGTCATCGCCCACGAATGGCCTCTTTGGCTCCTCATCAAGCTGCTCAACGGCCATCATCCCAGAGACTCAGGAGCAGATCTCAAAACCCAGTGGCTTTTGGCAGAAATCCCTCCAGATTTAAGTGTTAAAATTTCAGAACTTCAAAACCACATGGCCCTACTGCAGCCACACGACATCATATGTTATTCATAACCAGCAATAGAACACAAATTGTCTATTGTTGCCTTTTCAGCAGATCTGAGTGTTGGGGTAAAATCTTAAATAATGGTGGGTCTGGTGTCGAAATAGTGAATGTGATCAAAGTAGAGAGAGAGTAATGTGGAAATCATCTGCCCCACAGGCAGGGGGAGGGTGTGGGATGGGGGTATACTGGGATTTTTGGTGGTGGAGAATGGGCACTGGTGAAGGTACGGATGTTTCATTGTATGACTGAGACTTAGACCCAAAAGCTTTGTAACTGCTCTCACGGTGATTCAATAAATAAAATTATAAAAAAATGGAAAAAGAAAAAAAAGTAAGGTGGAGTTCAGGCACAATTCAATCAGCTAATCAGTGGCTGAATAAATAGCAGTACTCCTACAAAAAAAATAAATAAAAAAAATAAAAAAATAAAAAATAAAAATGAAGATAACTCAAAAAAATTTAAAAAGTCTATTCACAGTGTGGCCACACTTTCAACAGAGGTCAAATTCCCTCCACCATCAGCGTTCACCTTCCATTATACCACCTGCTTCCCCAGAACTTTTGTTTGGATGTGGCGGGGCACAGACTGGGATAGTCCAGAGGCCAGGTGGGCAGTTAAAATGAGGAGAGTCAGGGGCTGGAACGATAATACAGCAGGTAGGGCTGTACTATCTCTCTCTATATATATATATATGTATATATAGAGAGAGATCTATCTATCTATATATGTATATATATAGTAATTGTGAGTTAATCATTAACTCGCAATCTGAAAAGGAAGGGGTCAAAGTATGTCTGAGTATGTCTGAGGCTGTCACTTGGCCCTGGGGGCTGTTAGGTTAAAGGCAAGGAAAGGCCACCGAGGCCAGGGAGAGCTCAAAGGGCCAAGTGCAGGCTCTGCACACGGGAGGTCCAGCATCCACTGCAGCCCAGGTTCTAGCACTACAGGGTCCGCACTTGAAGCTGTTCCTAAACACAGAGGTCTGAGTAGCTCCTGAGCACCACTGAATGAGCCCCCTAAAAAAGGAAGGAATACAAGCTTGATAGATGTGCTCTTTCCTTCTTTCCTTCTTCCCTTCTTTCCATCCTTCCTTTCTTTCTCTTTTTTTTTATTTTTCAAAGGAATCATTTAATTTAATTTAAAGTCATAGCCAGCGATGCTCAGGGGTTATTGCTGGTTCTGCTCTCAGAAATTACTCCTGGAGGGGCTGGAGTGATAGCACAGTGGGTAGGGCGTTTGCCATGCATGTGGCCGACCCTGGTTCGATCCCCAGCATCCCATATGGTCCTCCAAGCACCGCCAGGAGTAATTCCTGAGTGCAGAACCAGGAGTAACCCCTGAGCATCGCTGGGTGTGACCCAAAAAGAAAAAAAAATTATTCCTGGAAATGCTTGGAAGACCCTAGGGGATGTCGGGGATTGAACCCAGGTCTGCCGCATGCAAGGCAAATGCCCTCCCCGGTGTACTATTGCTCCGGCTCCTCCTTCCCTTCTTCCCTCACTCCTTCTCTCCCTTCCTCTTTCCCTCTCTCTCTCTCCTTCCCTCTCTCCTTCCCTCTCTCCTTTTCTCTCTCTTTCTTTCTTGGTTTAGGACCACACCTGGAGATGCTCAGGGCTCACTCCTGCTCTGCACTCTTGGTGGGGCTTGGGGGACCATATGGGGTGCTGGGGATTGAACTGAGTCTGCCCTTGGGTGTAAGACAAGCACTCTACTGGCTGTACTAGTCCTCTAATCCCTAAATCCTTCTTCTTCTTCTTCTTCTTTTTTTTTTTTTTTTTTTGGTTTTGGACCACATCTATCTGTGCGCAGGGTTTACTCCTGGCCCTGTGTTCAGGGACCACCTCTGGCTGTGCTCAAGGGAACTATATGAGGTGCCAGGAATTGAACCTGGGTGGCCCACATTCAAGGTCACACTCAATGACAGCAGTGCTGGCCAGAAAAGGCTCTGGGTGGCTGGAGCAGGTCCGGGATCAGAAGGAGAGAGAGGGACAAGCAGAGATGATCCAGCAATTGGGGAGGGGAGGCTTGGGAATCCTCTGTACTGATTCATTTTTTTCTTTCTGGGTCACACCCAGCGATGCTCGGGGGCTGGAGGGATAGCACAGCGGGTAGGGCGTTTGCCTTGCACGTGGCCTACCCAGATTCAATCCCCAGCATCCCATATGGTACCCTGAGCACCACCAGGAGTGATTCCTGAGTGCAGAGCCAGGAGTAACCCCTGTGCATCGCTGGGTGTGACACAAAAAGCAAAAAAATATATATATATAATAATAACACTGCCCATTATACTATCTCTCTGGCCCCTAGATGTGTTTTCAATAATTTCCTGGTATCATGTGGAGGCCAGGCTGGAGGAGTAGGGCCAGCCAAGTCCTTCGAGGAGTTTGAGTCAATTATTTATTCAGTCTCTCACTCGGCCAATGTTTCCTTCATCCACCCAGCCCGTCTCTGAGACAGAGCCTCAGCAGCTACAATGGGTTACAACCTTCTCTCGCCTGACAATAGGCCTCCTGGACCACACTCAGCAGTGCTCTGGGCTTAGTCCTGGCTTTGCATTTAAGCATTACTCCTGGTGGTGCTCTAGGGACCCTCCTGGGTGCCACAGACCAAACTGAGGTTGGCTACAAGCTAGGCAAGTGCCTGTTACACGGTATTATTGCTCCAATCCCATTTTGTGCTGTTTGGATGGTGATTCCGAAGACAGGGAGATAATCATTCTCCCATGAGAAAAACAAGAACAAGCAAGAGAAAGGAAGACATTAAGGAGTGCCAGGGAGTGTGGCAAAGTGGCCCTTTGAAAGGGGCAATTGAGTTCGTCCTTGCTGCCTGGCCGACTAAGCGTTTGACCCCTGCGTGGGTCTTTACCGAGCATGTATGCAAAGTTCTGCCAATGCTCTTGGTTCGGGGGCAATGAATTTCCCCAAGAACATGTGGTCTGAGAGAAAATCCTGCCTTCCTGGTATGGACGAATAGTGGGGGAAATGAATAGAGAAGCAAGCAAGGGACCGAGGAGACAGCTCAAAGGGCAAGCAGAGGCCTGAGTTCCATCCCCAGCACCGTCTAGCCCCCAGGC